AGGATGAGGTATTACATGTCCGGTCAATGAGGTTGACGCCGGCGAAAGATCGAGATGCGGAAACACTGGGCAAGTTTCAGCGTGAAGAACCGGATTTAGCAAGATGTGCTAAAGACAGTGCAGCACGAAGGCAGGAGCCTGGGTGTCATGGACAGAAGATGCGGCATAGATCTGGCAAAATTTCCAATGTTAATTAAAATTTGTTCAATTTCTTTTGAAAGATTTTAAGCCCCGAGAGTGAACGCAAAGCCGATATTCGCATTATGAGAGTAAAAGATGTACTGAGGAAATGTATGGATCGCGTTTCCAAAGTGCTACACGTTCAATATTTATTGACGGTATTGCGATCCGCGATCCAGAATTCAAAATTTTTAGAAATTTTGCGATATGGATCACGATCCATCAATACTGCTTGCTACACCGTCAATAAATATCGCGATACTTGGAACACGCCCATAAATACTGACAGTGTGACAGAGCCCTATGGGCTGGTTCACAATATATAATGCACTTTCCAAGAAAGATAGAATACAAGATTGCGCCTTCCTGGGTGTTGACATTTGTGTACCACAAGTAAACAAAGAATAGAGCGAAAAGAAGAACGAGTTGAAACAGCCAAAGCAGTTCACTTTACTGCGAAAAACGTGTTTTAATTTTGCTAAATGCGAAAATATTGCATTTTTCACCTAATCTATTAGAGAACAGTGAACATTGTAGTGCACTCCATTGCTTTACAATTGAGGCTGCTTCAGCAAACGTTTTAGTGCACTTCATTGCTTTGCAATTAAGGCTGCTGCAGAAAACTGCAGCAGCATCTCTGCGGGACTGATAAGTTAACTTGTTAATGGAGACTGCGTGGAACAGAAACAAAATCATTGTGAGGAAATGCTGTTAATATAATAATAGAGAAACATTTTGGGAACGGCTTTGCCGTGCCCTATGTACACAAAATGCACCGCTACACTTGTATCTACGCTTCTTGCATCTTGACGGTTGTCGCAATTTAACACACAGTGTGACAAACTTTTGTAGTGCCGGGGTAAGCTAAGTCCGTCCAGGGTTCCTGAAATTGGAATTCCTACTTCTCTCCTTCAAAATGATAAATCTTCAATTCCAATCCATTTACTCTTTATTATTAAATGGTTAATTAAGAATTCCTATCAAGAACGCTTAAAGGCAGTGGGAGTGAATATCCCTCCACTAACCTTACCCGTCGGCGGGAGTGGTAACCTCCGCCGAATATAAGACTAAACGCAAATGAGGTGGAAACTCCCAGGTGCGCTTCGTTTGCCGGTAGTGTGTGCCCACCGACTAGTATACCTGCCTACTAGGGACTGCCTATCTTTACAAAATATCTCCTCGCTATTATACTCTTCTGCGCGCAGGCAGACTGTTATTCTACAATAACAACGCTTAACTACAAATGTTAAGAAATTAACAAACTTCAAATAGCAACAATTGAATACTGAATATAGTGTTGTACAATTCAACAAGTATATAAGTATATGTAAGTTCAATACAATTCAATTTATATAAGTAAATGTGATACAATTCAATTTAAACAATTCAATTTATTTATTTATTATAATTAACTCAATATAATACTTCATAAAAATAAATAATGTTGTGGGGACTCCAACGCCCCTGGATTTGGGTCCTCACACTCTCCCCTCACTTTCCGCAATGAGACTTACTATCACCGTGCCTGTGCGCGAGATTCTTACCCTGTAGCTGTTGCCATCGATGTCGCGCCGAAAAGACCGCCGTCCTCGCCGCTGCTGTGGCTGCTGCAAATGCACCTCAATATCGTCGACTAAGGGCGCTGGCAAAGGGTCAACTCCGGATTGGTTCTCCCATGCACCCGGCGTTGTGGTTGTTGCGCCCTGCAGCCAGCGCTCTATTTCCTCCACTATCCTTGCATACTCGTTTCTGCCTTCAGCCTCCACCAGGCCGTCGCTGGCCGTCAAGCTTAGCGCGTCGCTGCGGTCACAAGGCGCGCATTCAATTTCTGCCCCGTCGCAAATGCGGAGCTTCGTGGGTGGCTGCCGGGGTTCCTCTGCCGTCGACACGTTGTCATTAAAAATACGCATCCGCATTTCGATGCGCCGCGTATAATCGGTGAACCCTTGGCCACGCACCTCAACGTCTACTTGGCTTATTGATAATTCTACGCGCCGCCGTGGACACTCTTCCTCCTCGGACTCGCTCTCTGAGGATATGGTTATGGGCGTCGAGGCCCTTACCACTGCCGCCTCGTCCTCGTCGTAGTTGCTGAAGTCGTTCTCGCTGTCACTGTTGTTGGGCTCGAATAGTTCGGTGCTGGTGCTGGCACCCTCGCTGTCACACTCGCTAGGCCACTCTTCTTCCTCCGCCGCTGTCCGCATACCCATCGTATCCCGCTGGATCTCTTCCTGCTTTAATCGGTTTAGCCGTACTCGCAGGGAACCGTCTGTACTACTCTCCGCGATGTAGTTTTCGCGGACAAAATCTTGGCATGCGCCCATTTTCGTTAGGAACCGTATTTTGGTATCCTGCGAGCCGCGGACCGGTATTTATATTAGTTCCCATTGCGCGGTGAACTGTGCTTTTCCCGAAAAAACGTTATCCCACAGTATTCCTTTAATTTTCGACGAAAATTGCAGGACATTTCCAGCCTTATTATGTATCTCGAACGATAGGCCGCACGAACGATTCGTCTGTAGGCAATTTTGTAACTCTGTCGTTCGTCTTCGTCTTGTCTTTACGTCGATTAGGTTGCAATCGTCTCGGTTACGTTGTATGATGTTGCCGGATGAAATTTTGATGTACTTCCAAAGAGTTTTTCTTAGATTTCTAATATTTTCCCCTTATTTCAATGCTTTTTATTTTAAATGGGAAACATCGGAATTGTTTACATTTTGGTTTTGCTTAAAAGTGTTTTGGAAGTGTTGCGGAAAGAAATATAAGGAAAATTAATTTTTAAAAATGTATGCTGCTATAGCGCTAATGGACGCCGAGGAATCCGAAGAAAGGGAAAGGCGGATACAGAGGAGGAGATTGCGAGACCACACCAATGTAATGGAACTACCTGAGACTGAGTAAGTTCAAGATTAGCAAATAATTTGTGTATGCTACAATGTATTCGTTTCTAGATTTGTTGCAAATTTCCGAATCAATAAAGAAATATTCCAATACATATTAAACGAATTAAAAGAGCACATGGCTCCATCACATAGAAGCACCCACCTATCGCACCAGCTAAAACTCGCTACTTTTTTAAGATTTCTCGCCACTGGCAGTTACCAAAAATCTGTTGGTAACGAAAATATTTCGTCGATGGGGCAGTCAACTGCAGCCAACGTGATCAGAGAATGCCTAAATATTTTTGAGGACCATTTTTGCCAGAAATGGGTGAATTTTAGGAGAAACATCGATGAGGAAAATGCAGTTAAAGAATATTTCTTTGAGAAATACGGGATACCTGGGGTTATTGGTTGTGTTGATGGAACACATGTTCGTATTAAGTCGCCCGGAAGTGACAACCACCATTTATACCTCAAACGAAAGGGTTTTTACAGTATTAATGTAATGGCGGTAGGTTAATGATTTACTATCTTTACAAGTATACATATACACAAACTGAGTTTCCTTACAGATATGCGATCACAACATGGTAATCACATTTGTTGACGCTAGGCATCCAGGGGCGAATCATGATTCATTTGTTTGGAATGTGAGTCACGCAGAACAGGAGCTAAAATCTGATTATAACAATGGAAAAACCAACACATGGCTACTCGGTAAGTTTTAAAACTTAAAAAGGCTATATAACTATTACTGACAATGAAAATTTTTGTAGGTGATTCTGGTTACCCCTTGCAGCTTACAACACAAAGCACTCGAAAGCTCGTAATGTAATTGAGAGATGTTTCGGTGTTTTGAAAAACCGATTTCGATGTATAATTGGCTCGAGAGGGCTACACTATTTACCAGAAAAAGTTATACAAATTGTAACGTTTGTATATTTTTCAAACATCAAATTCCATTGGAGAGCCCAGATATGGAGAATCTTGAATGTTGTTGTACGAAGAAGAACTGGAAAACAGTAACATTTCGAATACAGCTGCCCTTATTAGAATGAGAATAGCAGAGAGTTTGTTATAAACGCAGTTTTATTATAAAGTATGTGTGTCTAGAATTCAGGTACACCAGCAAAATTCATTTGTCTTAAAATTAATAAAATATTTACATAAAAATTCAACAAAATATCTTTTCAGTCTTAAATCCTAAATCTACATATAAACTAAGTAAATGCAACAAAATATCAATTCACACTTAAATCTAAAAAATATTTACACAAAAAAAAAACAAAATATCACTTCAATACTCTCACAATAGTGGTATGAAAATTAATTCCGGAAGTACTCCAAAAATTTTTCAAAAATTTCCTATTGGCGTTCCACTGCAGCAGTTAATTTGTTTGTGGCATCCACCTGCAGCATTGATGCCTCTGCCATTTTTTTTGCAGCCTCAGCCTGCACTTTAGCGGCTTCTGCTTGGACTTTGGCAGATTCAGCCACTGTCTCTTGGAAGGTGCGCTTCCTATTAGTGGAACGTAACGTGTGCGTTGGTGTAGGACGGGTTGTCTGTGTAGTGGGAGTCACTACTCCCACTGGTGGTGGTTGGTTGTGCCTTATAGGAGATTGAAGGGTGGTTGTTTGTTGCCTTCGTTGGTCAAGTGTTGGCGATTCAGTCACAANAGTTTGTTGCCTTCGTTGGTCAAGTGTTGGCGATTCAGTCACAAGTAATGGAGGCATTTCCTCCAACGACGAATGTCTTGACATGTTAGAGGTCGCCGTCGAAGGAATGCCGAAAACTCTGCCGCTCGGGGCTGCTGACCTCGAAATAAAAACCAGGCTGTCTATGGCCTGCTCCATTTCGGAAAGCGGAGAGTGACGGAATGGGCCACCACCGGTAGCAGTAAGGCTTCGTTTGTTTTCGGCAATCTTCTTTTTTGTCCGGCTTTTCAAGTCAGCCCATATCTTGAAAAATAAAAATAAAATAAAATTCAATGTAAGTAAAATGGAAATAGTGCGCAAGCATTTATCTACCACATACAATTTATGCACTTATGCTTACTTTCTTCCATTCGACGGCCGTTCTTGTAGGAGGACCATGAGAATTAGTTTTCCTCATAATTTCCTCCCACCGCTCCTCTACCCTTCCTCGATCAGATCCAAACACTGCAACACCTCTGGCCAGGTCAGGATTTCTCTCCATTTCTTTTACAAGTACTTCAAATTGAGTGGTTGTAGTTTTTTTCAGCGCTACGAGCATAAATATTAATATATTTCTTTAAACCAAGTTATATTTTTTATTTTCTTACTTTTCCTGGCAGAACCTTCCATCTTAACGATCACTAATAACCTTTCGTCTGTTTTCAACGATTGTCGTCTCACTTTCGTCTTCTATTCGCCTTAAAATATTCCAAACTACACGAAAACTACGTAACGATCAGCTGTTTTCGTGCTGCCAGACGATTTCGACTTACATACTACCAACACACGAAAGAAACGTCTGGCAGACGAAACGAACGTTCGCTTCGAGATACATGATTAGGCTG